CCCCGAAGTAAACAATTATTATTTAAACTAGACCCTTTTCTTTTAAAATTTAAATTAAGTCTTTTGGGCATTTTTTTTGTACAGTATTAACCCTGAGAAATTACCGCTTATTAATGAATATACAATGTACTCCCAAGCCTATATTTCAGCTATTTTTTTTTTGTGATTTTTTAACCACTGTTGTCATTTTATGTATAAAATTTTGATATTGTAATTTCCTCTGCGTTCTGTGCTAAATTACCGGGGGTTTTTTACCTTTTATTTCAGTGTATGTTAGCGTTGGTCACTAATTACAACAAAATATAGGAAAAATACCAAAAAAAAACCCAGGGTATATATCAGTCTTGTGTTAGGTCAGTCTTGCCTTGTGTAGGTCAGTATTGGGTCAGTCTTGTCTTGTGTAGGTCAGTCTTGCCTTGTGTGGGGTCAGTCTTGCCTTGTGTAGGTCAGTCTTGTCTTGTGTAGGTCAGTTTTGTCTTGTGTAGGTCATCTTGTCTTGTGTAGGTCAGTATGTAGGTCAGTCTTGTCTTGTGTAGGTCAGTATGTAGGTCTCTTGTCTTTTGTGTAGGTCAGTTGTAGGTCAGTCTTGTCTTGTGTGGGTTTCAGTATGTAGGTCAGTCTTGTTTTGTGTAGGTCAGTAGTAGGTCAGTCTTGTCTTGTGTAGGTCAGTATGTAGGTCAGTCTTGTCTTGTGTGGTCAGTATGTGGGTCAGTCTTATTTGTGTAGGTCAGTATGTAGGTCAGTCTTGTCTTGTGTAGGTCGTATGTAGGTCAGTCTTGTTTTGTGTAGGTCAGTATGTAGGTCATCTTGTTTTGTGTAGGTCAGTATGTAGGTCAGTCTTGTCTTGTGTAGGTCAGTATGTAGGTCAGTCTTATCTTGTGTAGGTCAGTATGTAGGTCAGGTCTTGGTTGTGTAGGTCAGTAGTAGGTCAGTCTTGTCTTGTGTAGGTCAGTATTAGGTCAGTACTTGTTTTGTGTAGGTCAGTATGTAGGTCAGCTTGTCTGTGTAGGTCAGTATGTAGGTCAGTCTTGTCTTGTGTAGGTCAGTATGTAGGTCAGTCTTATCTTTGTAGGTCAGTATGTAGGTCAGTCTTGTCTTGTGTAGGTCAGTATGTAGGTCAGTCTTTGTTTTGTGTAGGTCAGTATGTAGGTCAGTCTTGTTTTGTGTAAGTCCAGTATGTAGGTCAGTCTTGTCTTGTGTAGGTCAGTATGTAGGTCAGTCTTGTCTTGTGTAGGTCAGTTGTAGGTCAGTCTTGTCTTGTGTAGGTCAGTATGTAGGTCAGTCTTGTTTTGTGTAGGTCAGTATGTAGGTCAGTCTTGTTTTGTGTAGGTCAGTATGTAGGTCAGTCTTGTCTTGTGTAGGTCAGTATGTAGGTCAGTCTTGTCTTGTGTAGGTCAGTATGTAGGTCAGTCTTGTCTTGTAGGTCAGTATGTAGGTCAGTCTTGTTTTGTGTAGGTCAGTATGTAGGTCAGTCTTGTCTTGTGTAGGTCAGTATGTAGGTCAGTCTTATCTTGTGTAGGTCAGTATGTAGGTTAGTCTTGTCTTGTGTAGGTCAGTATGTAGGTCAGTCTGTGTTTTGTGTAGGTCAGTATGTAGGTCAGTCTTGTTTTGTGTGAGTCAGTATGTAGGGTCAGTCTTGTTTTGTGTAGGTCAGTATTGATAGGTCAGTCTTGTCTTGTGTAGGTCAGTATGTAGGTCGTGTTGATTGTGTCTGGAGGGCATCATTCCAGTTCTTAATGTTCAAAACTGTATTAATGTTCAAAACTAATATTGTCCCATACTTACAGTCTTTACTTTTGCAGTGACATCAGTTCATCATGTGTTTATTGTTCCTGTACATAAATCCTCACCTGAAGAAGGGAGAATATAAAATAATATTGGTCAACAACCGAGATGAGTTATATTCCAGGCCGACCAAACCTGCACATTTATGGGACTCTAAAATATATGGAGGTAGGATGAAAACTGTTTAAGTTGTGATTAGGGCTGTGTTAAATATTTTAATGATGCAATAATTTGTTTGTTAAAAATATTTTTAATGATTCTCTATTGTACTTAAATATTTTGCTTCACTGTACTTGCAGTGCACCACCAATGAGTATATGATTTATTGTAAGAGGACACTTCATTAAAAAAGTTAAATAATCATTTATTTTAGGTATGGATGTTGAAGAGGGCAAGGAGGAGGAACATGGCTAGGTGTCTCTGAAACTGGTAAGATTTCGTGTTTGCTGAATATTTTCCAGCCTTCAGGCCAGTTCAAAAAGGATGGGCTTCAAGAGGTTTCTGGTGGTCAAGTACCTTCAGGCAGAACAAAGTGGAGCAGAATATTTGGAACATATTATTAAGTCAAATCTTGTATATAACCCTTTTAATCTATTAACAATGGACCCAGGAGAACTCTCCTATGATGTAACATAAATAATAGTGAAAATAACTTTTATCAAAAGATTCAGCCTGGAGTTTCATGGATTTGTAATTCCTTCATTAACAAACCATTCAGGAAAGTTAAGAAAGGTGAAATGAAATTTCAAGAGATAATTAAAACATATGGAAAAACCGAGAGTTGAGGAACAACTGATAAATGAACTGATTACTATGATGCAAAACTCTGAGAAGAATTTTCCTGATGAGCAGTTAGCAGAGCAGGGCAAAGGTCAATCAGAAGACTTTGTGAAAAGCCTCTCCAGCATTTTTGTCACCTTCCCTGGTGTGGGTTATGGAACAAGGTAAAGGAATGATTGTAGGAATAGTCAAAAAAATAGATACGAAGACAAATAAATGACCTAATTGAGAGGTTTTAAAAAATACTGTATGTGAATTTTATGAAGGGGTTTGTTTTGTGTCAGTATTTGTAGCTTCTTAAGTAAACATATTTGTGGTATCCCTGCTTCAGTTTTTTATTTAGTTTTGCGTTTTTAATTGAAGTTTCAGTGATTTAGCTTTTTTCTTTTTGTTTTGGTCCCTTCCAGTACTTACCACATTTATTCCTTTTATATTTCCCTTTTTCTTTCCCTTTAAAGGGATGCCCTGATTTTTATGAAAACCTGTTATCCCAAGGGAAAGGCTACTTTCCCCTTTTTTGGGTCAAACCTATTTTGGTAATTATAGATGTTACCTGTACCCAAATAAACTTACGTAGAACCCTTGTTAGGTTTCAATTTTCCTTTGCATAAATAAAAAATAATAATAATATTTTTTTTTTTTTTTTTCACAAGCGGCGTCCCCACCGAGGCAGGGGACCCAAAAAAAAAAAGAAAGAAAATCCCCAAAAAGAAAATACTTTCATCATCATTCAACACTTTCACCACACTCACACATTATCACTGCTTTTGCAGAGGTGCCCAGAATACAACAGTTTAGAAGCATATACGTATAAAGATACACAACATACCCCTCCAAACTGCCAATATCCCAAACCACTCCTTTAAAGTGCAGGCATTGTACTTCCCATTTCCAGGACTCAAGTCCGACTATATGAAAATAACCAGTTTCCCTGAATCCCTTCACTAAATATTACCCTGCTCACACTCCAACAGATCGTCAGGTCCCAAGTATCATTCGTCTCCATTCACTTCTATCTAACACGCTCATGCACGCTTGCTGGAAGTCCAAGCCCCTCGCCCACAAAACCTCCTTTACCCCCTCTTTCCAACCTTTCGAGGTACGACCCCATACCCTCTTTCCTTCCCCTATAGATTTATATGCTTTCCATGTCATTCTACTTTGATCCATTCTCTCTAAATGACCAAACCACCTCAACAACCCTCTTCTGCCCTCTGACTAATGCTTTTATTAACTCCACACCTTCTCCTAATTTCCACACTCCGAATTTTCTGCATAATATTTACACCACACATTGCCCTTAGACAGGACATCTCCACTGCCTCCAACCGTCTCCTGCTGCTGCATTTACCACCCAAGCTTCACATCCATATAAGAGTGTTGGTACTACTATACTTTCATACATTCCCTTCTTTGCCTCCATAGATAACGTTTTTTGACTCCACATATAACCTCACGCACCACTCACCTTTTTTCCCTCATCAATTCTTGATTAACCTCATCTCTTCATAAATCCATCCGCCGACACGTCAACTCCCAAGTATCTGAAAACATTCACTTCTTCCATACTCCTCCTCCCCAATTTGATATCCTTTTTTCTTTTATTTAAATCATTTGATACCCTCATCACCTTACTCTTTCTATGTTCACTTTCAACTTTCTACCTTTAAAACACATTCTCAAACTCATCCACTAACCTTTGCAGTTTTTCTTTAATCTCCCAAAAGCACAGTATCATCAGCAAAAAGTAACTGTGTCAATTCCCATTTTGAATTTGATTCCCCATAATTTAATCCTACCCCTCTCCTGAACACCCTAGCATTTACTTCTTTTACAACCCCATCATAAATATTTTAAAACAACCATGGTGACATTACACATCCCTGTCTAAGCCCTACTTTTACCGGGAAGTTTTCCCTCCCTCTCTTCTACACCCCCTAACCTGAGCCTCACTATCCTCATAAAAGCTCTTTACAGCATTTGAAACTTACCACCTATTCCATAAACTTGCAACATCTGCCACATTGCTTCCCTATCCACTCTATCATATGCCTTTTCAAATCCATAAATCCCAATAAAAACTTCCCTACCTTTATCTAAAAACTTTTGTTCTCACTATTGATAATAATAATAATAATAATAATAATAATAACAATAACAATAATATAATATCTTTATTTTACAAGTATATGTACAAGGTATACAGGTCTAACTGACGTCAATGACATACTACTATATAGAAAGCTGCTTGTCATATTGGAGTATACCCGGAGAGGGGTTTTAGGGTTTAGCACCCCCATGGGCCCGGTCTGAGACCCGGCCTCATGATGGATCAGGTTTTGATCAACAAGGCTGTTACTGCTGGCCACAAGCAAACTAATGCAATGAACCAGAGCCCTGCTGGTCAAGTACTGACTTTAGGTGGCCTGTCCAGTGTCTTCTTAAAGACAGCCAGGAGTCTATTGGTAATTCCCCTTATGTATGGTGGGAGGCAGAGCAAATTTTGGGCAAGCTGAAGTCAGTTTTGTCCCTGGGATGTGACCCCACTATCTAGGCTGGAATATGCTGCACACTAACAGCACCTTTCAAGGCAGGTGAAATTGCGGACCTAGAAAATGTACAGAGAACCTTCACGGCGCGCATAACGGGGATAAAACACCTCAATTACTGGGACGCTTGAGGTTCTGAACCTGTACTCCCTGGAACGCAGGCGGGAAAAAAACATGATTTTATACACCTAGAAAAATCCTATAGGACTAGGTACCGAACTTGCACACGAAAATCACCCCTACGAAGCAAAAAACTTGGCAGACGATTGCAAAATCCCCCAATGAAAAGCAGGGGTGTCACTAGCACGTTAAGAGACCATACAAAAGTTTCCAGGGGCCCGAGACTGTTCAACTGCTCCCAGCATACATAAGGGGGATTACCAATAGACCCCTGGCAGTCTTCAAGCTGGCACTGGACAAGCACCTAAAGTCGGTACCTGACCAGCCGGGCTGTGGCTCGTACGTTGGTTTGCGTGCAGCCAGAGTAACGCCTGTTGATCAGGGTCTGATCCCCAGGAGGCCTGGTCACAGACCAGGCCGCGGGGGCGTTGACCCCCGGAACTCTCTCCAGGAAAACTCCAGGTAAACACCAGCCGACTAACACCCAGGTTCCCATTTTACTAATGGGGAACATAGACAACCAGTGTAAAAAAAACCATGCCCAATGTTTCTACCCTCACCGGGAATCGAACCTGGACCCTCGCCGTGTGAAGCGAGAGCTTAGCCACCAGGCCATGGGGCAAAAATGGTAAGAAATGGTAGGCAGCTGGAAAACAACTATCTAAGGACAGTACTATGGTTTGATTGCTGTTCTTTTCCTTCATGTCTCCATCAACATTTATGATGAGAGTACTAAAGAAGTTGCAGCAAATGATGTAATCGTTCGGTGCTCTGTATTCTTGTGAATAAATGGTTTAACAAAAAAAAAAATGTTGATAAATGAGACACTTGTGCAACATTTGGGTATCTTTATTTTGGAAACATTTTGCCACACGTGGCTTCTTAGTCTAATGCAGAAAAAGTTGGAAGATGAGGAGTTTGAGGTAATCAGTCCCTCATCTTGGAGTCAATGTGTTCATTCTAGTCAGTCTTGACAAAAGTCAAGATTGATGGATTGAACACATTGACTCCAGGCTGAGGGACTGATTACCTCAAACTCCTCATCTTCCAACTTTTTTTGTATTAGACTGAAGAAGCAACTGTGTGGCTAAATGTTTCCAAAATAAAGATACCCAAATGTTGCACAAGTGTCTTATTTACCACTTGTAATCTTCAACTACTGTAGCAGAGCATTAACATAATATGCATTATTATTAATTATAGAATAATCTTTATTTAATACAAATCCAATTAAAGTTTTCTGTAATTACTACTACAGCCAGATGAAAAGTTATAGTCAAAAGTCACTTCATCCACAGTACTATTAAAGTAATAAGAAAACTCAATCTTAAGTTATTCCTCAGTTTTCTTGCTTATATTCAATTGCCTATAACAATACTGTTCTTAAATATTCAATTATATACTGTACTTTTATAATCTGCTGTTTACTCTTTCACCACTTATATTCTTGCATACATATCATGCAAAGGGGTAAAGGAGGTTTTGTGTGCAAAGGGCTTGGACTTCCAGCAAGCATGCATGTGTGTATTGGATAGGGGCAAGTGGAGACAAATGGTTTTTATGACTTAACATGCTGCTGGAGTGTAAGCAAAGTAACATTTATGAAGGGATTCAGGGAAACCTGTTAGCCAGACTTGAGTCCTGGAGGTGTGAAGTACAGTGACTGTGCTCTGGAAGAGGTTATGTGATACATTGCAGTTTTTTAACTGTAGTGTATGTGTGCCTCTGGCAAACAGTGATGGAGTGAATGATGATGAAAATGTTTCTTCTTTTTTCAGGTCACCCTGCCTTGATGAGAAATGTCCAATGTGTTAATAAAAAAAAATTCATGGGGAAATGCTACTAAATGCATAGGGTTCATACAGCATTTGGGATATGAGAGGTGATCAGGCTTGATCCGAGGAAGGGCCAAGTACCTCCATTTCCTAGATGATGAGCCCTTCACCATCACCAAGGATTCCTTGCTCCTGAAGGGATCTACATGTATATATGTGGTAGACGTAAAGTTTAAGCCTTAGTTTCATCAGAAACACTATGCATGCAAGGGACATCTCACATCTACAACCAGCCTGCTTATGTGAACCATATTATATGAATTTTTAACCATAATTTTTTCTTCAACACATCAGCTGTCTCCCACCGAGGCAGGATAACCCAAAAAAGAAAGAAACACTTTCACCATCATTCACATATAACCACTGTCTTTGCAGAGGAGCTCAGATACGACAGTTTAGATGTCACTCCAAATAGCCAATATCCCAAACCCCTCCTTTAAAGTGCAGGCATTGTACTTCCCACCTCCAGGACTCAAGTTCGGCTAACCGGTTTCCCTGAATCCTTTCACAAAATATTACCCTACTCACACTCCAACAGCTGATCAGGTCCCAAAAAAGATTTGTCTCCATTCACTCTTATCTAATACACATATGCCTGCTGCATGTCCAAGTCCCTTGCATACAAACGTCTTTTACACTCTCCCTCCATCCTTTCCTAGGACAACCCCTACCCCTCCTCCCCTCCACTACGGATTTATACACCCTCTAAGTCATCCTATTTTGCTCCATCCTCTCTTAAATAACCAAACCACTTCTACAAGCCCTCTTCTGCCCTCTAAAATACTTTTAGTAACTCCACACCACCTGTTTCCACACTATGTATTCTCTGCATAATATTTACACCACACATTGCCCTTAGATGTGACATCTCCACTGCCTCCAGCCTCCTCCTTGCTGCAGCATTTACAACTCATGCTTCACACCCATATAAGAGTGTTGGTACCACAATACTCTCGTACATTACCTTCTTTGCCTCCATAAGCATTAATTATTTTGTTAATATGTACATACTATACATATGGAATGCATCGAAGAATAAAATAGTAATTTATTTATTTATAAATAGTTCATCTTCGTGCTGTTGGAGTGTGAGCAAAGTAACATTTATGAAGGGATTCAGGGAAACCGGCAGGCCGGACTTGAGTCCTGGAGATGGGAAGTACAGTGCCTGCACTCTGAAGGAGGGGTGTTAATGTTGCAGTTTAAAAACTGTAGTGTAAAGCACCCTTCTGGCAAGACAGTGATGGAGTGAATGATGGTGAAAGTTTTTCTTTTTCGGGCCACCCTGCCTTGGTGGGAATCGGCCGGTGTGATAATAAAATAATAAATAGTTCATCTTAAGCTTTTAATGTTATTGCAGCTCAAATTGCTTGTACATTGTAATATTCTGTGATAATAGAACATACTGTAGCTATGTACAATTTTGTTTACAGGACAACATCTGTCATTCTTGTGGACCACTTGAACAGAGTTATGTTTAAGGAGCGAACAATGAAGGAACCAATCAACCTGGAGGCACCTGAATGGGAAGTAAATGAACATAGTTTCATTTCAAAGAAGAAATACTGAAAATGCCTGTAAACTCTTAAATGCAGTATTTACTATACAATATTAATTTCTGAAGACAGTAGTCTGCTGTGTCTGTACAGTCTTTGCATTCATGTTAAAAGAGCTCTACCTGAATCACTTGTACACATTTTGTGTATACAGTATTTAGAAGTTTTATGATTTTTTCTGTATAATCTATTATATATCATGAAAAATATTTTTATCTGAATCCCTTGGATTTATAGCCTGCTTATCTTCAGCAGTCTTATTACAAACAGTATGCTGTAAGAAGATTGAGACACTTATGCAGCATATGGGAATCTTTATTCAGGAAACGTTTCGCCACGCAGTGGCTTCATCAGTCCAATACAAAGAGGAAGGCGTAAGGAGAGGAGGAGAATGAGGTAATCTATTCATCACAACTGTCAGACACTGCAGCATCATGGGATCTTGTTACAAAGAATTCTTCAACACTTGTTCAACCTTTGGAGGAAGACCTACTTCGACTAGTGGATGGTACCACTATGACCCCGCCTCCAACTGCTTCACGTCACCTCACTACAGTATATAAGCCATGTCTACGGCCCTATGCTGTACATTCTACAAGATTGATGGACTGAACACATCGACTCCAGGTTGAGGGACTGATTACCTCATTCTCCTCCTCTCCTTACGCCTTCCTCTTTGTATTGGACTGATGAAGCCACTGCGTGGCGAAACGTTTCCTGAATAAAGATTCCCATATGCTGCATAAGTGTCTCAATCTTCAACATGTCGGTTTTTCAAACCATTCATCACACACAGTATGCTGTAAGAATTAAGATGAAGCTTTGTACAGTACTATACTGGAATGCAAAATAGTAATTTCTCAAGGGTACATTTAATGTTCATGAAACGGTTCTTCCACTCTCTTGTACCCGTTTTCCTTATGAAATAACCCTTTATACTCTCTTTCCGTCTCGAGGTACCTTCCCTTCTTTAGGTATATACTGAACAAATACACCAACCACTAAAACTATACCCCCCTGCATTTAATATCTCAGTCTTAATCCCATCTGTCCCGTTGCTTTCACTTCCTCATGTATTTCCTCACATTCACTTTTTTTTCCTTCTTTTTTTTTTTTTTCAACAAGTCGGCCTCTCCCACAGACAG